TTTGAGGCCAAGTTTGGATTTTCATGGGGGCTTCTTGGGGATTCATGTAGATCGTGTAGTCTACGACAAAACCCTTCGATTTCGGCGAATTTGGAACACTTTTTTTTTTTCAGTGGGGATTTGAGGTTTTTATCTCAACTTGAAGTAGGGGGTGTTATAATTTACTTTCTTGCTCTATTACATGCTTATGATGCTTATTCAACTCAATTGCATACTTGGATATTAAATCTAGAATTTTTGATTATTTATTTTCTAGTATGAAATTTAATTTTTCTGGTGAGTTATAACATGTTTTAAACTTGGGGCTTGACATTATATTACACCTGGATATGTTGATTGACATATATTAAAATTTGAGCATTTGGATAATAAATGAAGATTTTATTTAATATTTATCTTGAATAAAATATTAATTCATGTGGCCTTAACTAGCTTAAAATCAATGTGTGATATCATATTATATTTGTCCTTAGCATGCTCTTCAACATAGTTGAATTTGAAAGTAATTGGAGGTATTTTGAAAATTAGTAATTATTAGTTAACTTGATTAATTAATTTGCCTCAAGTGCACTAGTCACTCCATTTGAATTCCGACTTGATATTCCTGATCTACATGCCATATAGCTTCACATATGTTTGATTTAGAATATTCGGTGAGGTTTTGAAACCTTTCATTTAATTAATTTCCTTGTTTAAGATTTAATCCTCATGGCAATATACAATTTGGAATTAAATTATGGCATGCTAGAAAATTAGGCTTTGGTATGGTTGTTCATATATATTAAATTGGGATTAATTGCATGAGAATTGTAACTTTTATTTTATATTTAATTTTAGTGAAAGTTTAATTCACATGGTCGTAAATTGAATGAAATAAACTTGTAATGTGATATTACATTAGTCCTTGGCATGTTCTCTAAGATATGTTAAATTGAGAGCATTTGGTTAAGTTTGAAAAACTAAAGATTTTAATTAAAAGAATTAATTAAAATCTATTTTGTGGTCCCATTAGCTTAATTAAGATTTTAACTTGATATTTGTATTGGCCATGACTTGTTTACTAGTATATATTAACTGTGGACCATTTGAAGTTGCTTTAGAACCTTGGTAATTAAATTAGCATAATTTAATTAGAGTTCTACATTGTTGTTCCAATAACCTAATTGAGTTTTAGAATGGATATAGGTGATAAGCATGCCATGTTCTTTAATATGTATTAATTTGAGGTTATTTGGAATTGAATTAGAATCTAGGTAATTTAATTATTTTTATTTAATTAAATTCTATCTAATTGAGCCATGAATTTAATTGTGTTTGAAAGTCGTTTCTATATCAAAATCCTGGACATGGACTTGTTGTAAATTCATTTGGTTATGTTTTGAGCATTGGATAACATAGTTGCTATGTTTACACTCATGAGAATATGTTTTCCTTATTGAATATATTGTTGCCTTGTGTTATGATTTGCATATTTCGTATTTAACATCTTTCATGCATAGCGTGTAACGAATCGCACACTGAAGATTGAACATTTATCCTATCATATTAGTTGTGGGCTTAAAGCATGTATTGTATAGGTTTCCAAATTTGGTTGTGCATGGTAGATAGTTGATTATCTTGTGTATACATGCTGATATATACGTTGTTGCACAATTTGTTGATTTTGGAAACTTGGGGATGTCGTTGTTTGGTTACGGCTAGGACGTGGTTCTAGTACGGGGGATAGTCCCTCTATATAGTCTAGTGCACACATAGGGAGGTTTACCATGGGCTAGTAACCCTAAAATAACCAAGGTGTCGGCCTGATCCGGCGTGACGTCCAAGTATTCACTTCGTTTGATTTCGCATTTCATTTCAAGTTGATAACTTGATGATGTTATAACTTGTTGTTTCTTACTTATTTTCTCGTTTTAAGTTTCAGGATGTTTACTTTGAGAAACCATGCTTTATGCGTTGTATTAGAAGTTCTAATGTTGGTATGATCGCATTGAAATTGTGATTTGTGTTTTGATGTTCTAATGTAGTTTAGGAATGATCCTATAGATTCAATTGGAACATAGAGGTTAGGTGGCATGACCCACTTCTGTTGTCTTCGTGCTTTAGATTGCAAGTTGATACCTTTAAGAACCTTTATCTTGTTGCTTGTATAACGTGCGTCCATCTTATTTAAATTGCATAAATAATGTGATTTATGCTAGAAACGATCTAAGATAGCTTAGGATGATCCCTGAGTCTAATCTTTGACTTAGACGTTAGGTGGCATGATTCCTTTTGAATTATATCATGTTAGTCCTAAAAAAAATCTCTAAAGAAATCGAGTCGATGCATGCTCATCCCCTACGAATAAACTTGTTAGTCTTGTTTATTCACCCCGAAGTTACTGGATGTTTTGCAGGTAAAGAAGCTTTGTTGTTGGATACATAACTCTCTTATACATGCTAGAAGTCTTGAAGTATTTTTCATGACATTGAATATGCACATGTTAGCATATCATGTTTACTTTTGTTTATTTTGATAAAACTTGTATTCTTTGATTCCATATATGTAAAGTGTGCATAAGAACACTCTTTTCATTGTAATCCATGTATATTCAAAAATGTAGAATTTTGCCTTTAATGAGAAAAGCATGAAAACTTGGGTTCCAATATGTCATTTTCGAACCGGTGTGTGCATTGTGTATGTAATTCATCCTTTAGCATTCATTTGCCATATGTGAGGTGTGGCCAAGGGTCAAACACCATTTAGTTTTTATTTTTGCATTTCAATTCACATATTGCATTTTGGTCTAAAATAGTAGAAACCGAGCTTTTAAGGGTTCATTTTCAAATCGGGTGGTGCAAAGTGTGTTCCGGCACCTCCATTAGGTCTCATTTATCTTGTATGAAGTGTGGCCATGGGCCAAACGATCATTTGAAACCATTTCCTAATTTTGGTTTCCATATTTTCCATTTCAAGTCCATTTTTGCCTTTTTGGCCGTTGGGGGGTTGAATTTTGCATCGGTGGTATTTTTAAGTCATGGACTATTGTAGTACGTCCAAATAGGTAAGTTACGTCTGTGTGCATGGTCGTTTCCGGACAAACCTTCTCCTTTGGTGAAATGAGCCTCCTATGGATTCATTTTGCGCTTTTGTTGCATAATCTGATCTAGGGGCATTCTAGACCTTTCAAATTAGTTTTATTTTCTCTTTTCAACATGGTCGCTTAGAAAACATGATTTTAGGGGGGGTTTCTTTTTCGTGTTTTTCCAGAAAACATCGTCTTGGTATCGAAAATCTATCGTAAAGTTTAGCTTTCTGTTTTTTTTATTTAGCAGCTTTTTGGACCTCCATGACCAGATTTCATGGTTGGGCATTTTGGGCATTCTACATTGCGGTTTTTTTTTTAAATTCTCACATGTGTCACGTAGAAAACTCAATTTTGAGGGGGGTTTCTTCTTTGTATTTTTCCAGAAAAATTCATGTTCTAGCCCGTTTTTGTTGTCAGTTGCAAACAGTCACTGTAGCATCTTTTAACCCTTTTGGCCGAAACTGATCTAGGGGCATTTCGGGAAATTCCTTTGGAAAATAAATTCTATTCTTGACATGGTCACATAGAAAACGTGATTTTAGGGGGGGTTTCTTCACAACATTTTTCCAGAAAATGTCATCTCGAACCCGAAAACCCCACGCCAAAATCTGATTTCTTGTGCGCATTTGCACTATTTGAACAAGTCTGTTGTAGGGGCATTTTGGAGATTTCACGTCAAAAATAAAATTTTCTTTTGACATGGTCAGGTTGGAAAAATTATTTTAAGGGGGGTTTCCTCTTCATGTTTTTCTAGAAAACATCGTTTAGTACCTCAAAACGGCACACGAATTTCAGCATTTTCCCAGGTTACTATTCACGGCTGTGGCGACGTCAAAAACTTTGTTTGGACTTATCTCTTCCATCTAGACTTCGAATCAAGTGATTCTTGAGTCTAACCTGATTAATTTTTTGCTGTATTCCCAGCGGTGTGCTCGGTAGCACCCGATTTTATATATTTTCAGAAATGACCATTTTGCCCTTGGGGCTATTTTTGTCCGGTTTTCTTGTAATTTGCTTCCACTACTTTCTTTTGAGTTCCGTGACTTCACAGGAAGTCATGAATGTGTCTCGAGAATAATTTACATTCTAGGGACGTCATTTCTATGTAAAATGACTATTTTGCCCCTGGGGGCTTATTTTATCATATTTTTGACCTTTTGCTTCCGCATCAGTTCTCATTGAATTACACGACCTCATGGAAGGTCACTTTGACTTCTTAGAGTCTTTTTTTCTGTTTTCACTTCCGCATTCGGATCCGTTATCGGGTCAATTTTTGGTTCATTACAAGACGCGCTGGCCTAAAAACCAGGGCCGTCACAGCTCTCTTTGATTTAGGTGCAAGAATTAATCTCATTCCATACTCTGTTTACTTGCAATTAGGATTAGGGGACTTGAAGCCAACATCGGTAGCCATCTAACTTGCTGATAGATCAATTAAAAAATTGAGGGGAATTGTTGAAGACATCTTAATTAAGGTTGATAAATTTTATTTCCCGGTTAATTTTGTGGTATTTGATACTGAGCCAGTCCCTAATCTTACCAATCACATTCCAGTCATCCTAGGAAGACCATTTTTTACCACTGCCAATGCTATGATTAATTGTAGATCTGGCATTGTGGACATCTCTTTTAGCAACATGATGGTTAAGCTTAATGTTTTTAATGCGAGTCAACATCCCACAGATGAAGACGAGTGTTTCTTTGTGGATATTTTGGATGAAACCATAGAGGAGACTCTTCCCTCTATTCTATCTAAGGACCCTCTTGAAGCGTGCCTTTGCGAAATGTTTTTTTTTTTTTTTTTCCCTAAATGAAGGATTTTTATAAATATAAACATTATAGTACTTGGAAATAAAGTAAGGGCATACCCTTACATACAAAACAAAGCCTTACCAAGAAGGCGAAATAAGCACTAATCAAAAAGAAGGGAAAATTACAAGACATCTTGAAGTATTACCCCCTTAACATCAAGAACCTCCCAAATCACAGTCTTAGCTAATTCCAAAGAAGCTTTACATATATCATTGTGCACTCTCTCATTTCTTTCTCTCAAAATGAAATACATTCCTGCAGTGAAAAGTATCCTCCCAAATTTATTCTTCTTTCCTTGGAATTTTTGTATAAAAGCCGTAGCCAATTCCTGAACATCACCAGCTTTCTGTAAATTCCAAGAAAAAATATTTGACATAGTGGACCACACAGCCCAAGCATAAGGACAATTACAAAACAAATGATCCAAAGTTTCTACATTGCTAAAGCACAAACAGCATCGTGAAACAACAGAGAATCCTTTGTTTTGCAAAAAAGAATGAGTAATGATAGCATTTTGCAACACCAAAACTGAAAAAACCAACCATCTAGGTCTGCCTCCATTCCAACACAAATCTGCCTAGTAAATAGGTAGATTAGGACTTCTGCAGGCCTCCCAAGCAGCCTTAAAACTGAAGTTAGAAACCCAATTAAGTTGATCTTCTCCCCCAACAACTCTATAAGTATGGAAAACCTGAATCAAATCTTAGGTAGCATTCATCAGCAACTCATCATCCCACTGATCCTCAATAATGAAATCACTCAATATACAATACTTATTTCTGCTAAGAGAACTCAACACTCTATGATTAAATAGCTCACCTAAACACTTACCTTCACACCAAGGATCCAAAAACAATTTGATATTATGTCCATTACCAATTTTATATCTGCAATTCACTTTGATCACATCTCTAACTGCAACGATGCTTTTCCAAATAGATGAATCAGCATCCCTCTGAACAATATTCCAAAAGGAAGATTTTCTGAGATATTTTTTTGTGAACCAGGCCACCCAAATTCTATCTTTTAATAACAAAAAATCCCAAGTGAGACAACACTTAGAAACCATATCAATATCCACCAATCTTCTCAGCCCCAAGCCACCTTCTTCCTTAGGAGCAGTAATCTTATTCCATCTTAGACCATGTAATTTCTTTCTATCTTTTACATGCCCCCAAATATAGTTACTTATTCTCCTCTCAATCAGGTTAACAACCACATCAGGTAGAGAATACACAGAAGTCCAATATAAGACCAAAGGAAGAATACAAGCTCTAACTAACTCCACTCTACCAGCCATAGAAACATATAAGCCATTCCATCTAGTTGTGAGAGAAATAACATTCTCAACCAACTTAATACAATCCCTACTTCGGAGTATTTTATCATAAATTGGTAAACCAAGGTAAGTGAAATAAAGCTTCCCACTCTTACAACCAAGAGCTCTCAAAATAGTAGACCTTCTTCTAACAGAATCAGTAAGAAAAACTTCTGATTTCTCTTTACTCACTGCCAAACCAGAAGTATATTCAAACTACATTAAAGTTTTTTCAAGGTAAAAATAGTAGCCAATTTAGCTCTCACCACAATAAGCAAATCGTCAGCAAAAAACTGGTGAGTGATAGGAATGCCAGCTTGAACTGCAGCTTCAGTAGGAATAACCTTACCACATTGAACCTCAGTTTGCATCATCCCTGAAAAATACTCTGTAACTAGAGTAAAAAGCAAAGGAGATAAAGGACAGCCTTGCCTGACCTCTCTCAGGTTGAAAGTAACCATTTGGGGATCCATTGACAACAACAGAAAACCAAACTGAAGTTATACACTTATGAATCCAACTGATCCATTTCTTGCCAAAACCAAACAACTGCATCAATTTAAACAGAAAGGACCATTGAACGGTATCATATGCCTTCCTTAGATCAATCTTCCAAGCTAGCCTAGGCTTTGCCTTTTTAGCACCAATGCCTCTCATCAATTCATGAGCCATTATAATATTGTCCTGAATCCTTCTATTTTGTATAAAGGCTGTCCATTCTTTGCCTACAATTCTTCCCAAAACACTAGCAAGTCTATTAGACAAAATTTTTGCAATGACCTATAAAGAAATTGGTCTAAAATCACCAACTTTGAAAGCCTCAGTCTTTTTCTGAATCAAAGTTATGAAAGTGCTATTAATCCCTCTCCCTATTTCAAGATGATTAAAGAAATGAATGACAGCATCTGAGAATAGATCACCCACTATACTCTAAAATTGTTGAAAAAATCTTGCACTGAAACCATCTGGACTTGGAGCACGATCAGGACCCATAGAGAAAATAGTGTTCTTCACTTCCTCCCTGGAAACAATATCTTCTAATCTATTCACTTCCTCAGCAACTAGAGATCTTCTGATATATTTAGCTTCAGGCTCACAAGAAACAGATTGAGTATTGGAAAATTATAATACTCAACAAACATGTGCTTAATCCTAGTTGTATCAGTGATCACCTCAGCCTCTTCATGTAACGCTGTGACATTATTAGTATTTCTATGTTTCCTGATTTTCTGAAAAAAGTACTTGGAGCACCTGTCTTGATCCTTCAGCCATCTAATTCTAGATTTGTGAGCAAGCACCATGTCTTCATTGGAAATAATAGCCTCCAACTCACATCTTCCTTCCTCCTCTTGCTTAATAAGAACTTCATTTAAAGGATCAGTATATAACAATTTCTGTGTATCTGCTAAAGAATTCCTGCATTCAATAACCTGTTAAAAAACAGAACCAAATTTATCATGATTCCACTTCTTCACTTCCTGTTTCACCAGCTTTAACTTATAAATAAGCTTCTTAATTGGATCCCCTGAAGTCTTGGTTTTCCACACATCCGCAATTAGATCCTTGATAGTAGGTTGTTGATTCCACACTGATAAAAATCTAAATGGTTTTGGGCCATCAGCAATCTTCAAAGGAAAATTCAAACACAATCCCTAATGGTTAGAAGTCAATGGATGAGTTAAAACAATTTAAGAGTCTGGAAATGACTGCTCCCAATCCTCATTTATCAACCCTCTATCCAATCTAGCATAGATTCTTCTATTGGTAAATCTTTTATTACACCATGTATATACCCCATTTGTCACTGGGATATCAGATAAGCACAAAGAATCAATAGTATTATTGAACTCAGAAAAAACTTTAGGAGAATGGACTTTACCTCATAATTTTTCAGAATTAGAATGCACAATATTCCAATCCCCAATCAATATCCAAGGACCGGTGATAGGTTGATGGCTCTCTACAGGATCCTTCCATAATACTAATCTTTTAGTAGCTGTGTTATTTGCATATACAAAAGTAACAAATAATCTGCAATTGGACCCTTTAATATCCACCTACAACAATATCATCTGAGCCTTGACCTCAATAGCTGTAACAATAAGCTTCCTAGGATCCCACCCACACCAAATTCAACCTCCTGAATCAGCTGTATAATTACCCACCCAATTATAATTTCTTCTTAACTTTTCTGATAACCTCTGAAATTTACCACTTTGAACTCTAGTTTCAACTAAACCACACAAAGATAAAGAGGAACTACTCAACCAGGCTTTCACTTCTTTCTGCATCACCTTCCTGTTGAGTCCTCTAACATTCCATAAAGCAATCATTAAACAAATGGTGTTGGTGGCATTGCCCCACCTGCAACCATCCTTCTAGTGATTCTCACCCTTTTTGGATCAATGTCAACTACCTTCTTCTTGTTATTATTTTTAACTTTCTTAGAAGATGGTGTCCCCCTAGGAGAAATTGGATCCCTTCCACATTCTTGGCTGCCAGCACCTATTCCATCATTTTGTTTCTCTGGAGTTTCTTTGACAACTTCCTGAGAACTTTCCACATTAACACACTGCTCCAAACTTCCTTTCTCCAATGGTGAGGAGAAGGAAGTATCAATAGCCTTTTCATACCTCTCAATATCCACAATAAATGCCACTTTTTCTAAAACCTCTTCTCTTTCAGTACTTTCCTCAAGCACTTGAAACGTATTTGTAGATATGACAGGATTTAAAGATTGTTGTCCCACCTTTGACTTCCCTATCGACTTCTTAGGCACTGAGAACCTTTCCAAGTCCTCTTTCTCATTAGAAACACGCGGTTGAATATTCACCAAGTTAATCTCCTCCACTGGATACGGCTTAACCACCCATTTTTCCTTTGGCTTGGAGACTTTTACCTTATTAAGTGGACACATGGATTGATTGTGATCCATTTTCTTACAAAAGGTACACACTTGAGGCTTCCATTCATACTCTACCTTAACTTTACAAGGTAAACCATGCAATCGAGTTTGTATGGTTTCTGGAAATGCACCATCCACCTCCATCTCAGCCAATACATGAGCGTACAGACCTTTATCCAGGCCTTGGATAACATCCTCCATATAAAGCGGTTTTGTAATATTTGAAACAACCTTTGAAACCGATGTACCACTATGTGCATGCACTGCTAACTCACATACTTTCATCCATATTGGAACCGTTTCCAAAATATCCCTTTCAAGATGAATACTCTTATGCTATTTTTTGACAATAATTGCTCGCCCTTGAAAAGTATGAAGCCTTGATAAAATTTGAAGTAGATCTTCCTCTGATGGCAATCGAACTTGAAAAAAATCCTTCCTTCATTGAAACCACCACAGCATCCTTATGCCATCTCTTTTGAACATAAGCTTTGAAATATGGGAAATAAGGTTTGCTTCCTAAGACATAGCAGACAACTGAGTTCTTCCAAATCTTAAGTTCTTCTACAATATCCTCGTCCTCGATGATCACCACATCCTTCCCACGACAGTCACTATAATAAGTTAATGGAGTGAAACCTGTAGACGTTGGGTTAAGAAACAAAGAACTCCACAATGGACGATTTGGAGGGTTATTCACAGGAAATACACTACCTGCTAGAGAGGAGGGTTGCCCCCCCTCCATCTTCATGACTGTAAAGAGAAACCCTAGGAAACCCTAATCACCCCAGTAGAGAGAAAAAGGGTAAAAAAGTCAAGATATGTGACTACCTTTTGCGAAATGTTTGAAAGTTGTGGTTTTGACACAGAATGATCCATAAGTGAGGTGAATGCTTTGATGGACTCTGTAGCCACTTTGAATTACCCACCTTGGAAAAGCAAGAAAGAACATCTTCCTTCACTCTCTAGTACTCCACCAGTTCCTTCTCTCATCTGTCCTCCTACTCTTGAGCTTAAGCCTCTTCCATCCAATCTCAAATATGCCTTCTTAGGCCCAAAAGAGACTCTTCCGGTCATCATTGCTTCAAATCTTAAAAATAACCAAGAGAATGATCTTTTGGAAGTGCTTAAAGCTAACAAAGAAGCCATTGGATGGAGTGTGGCTAACCTAAAAGGCATTGACCCTTCTATTTGAATGCATTGCATACACATAGAAGAGGATGAAAGGCCATTTAGGGATGCTCAAAAGAGATTGAACCTAAATATAAAGGAAATTGTCAAGAAGGAAGTTGTGAAACTTCTAGATGCGGGAATCATTTATCCTATCTCTGATTCCAAGTGGGTTAGTCCAACTCAGGTGGTTCCCAAAAAGTCAGGAATCATAGTTGTTAAAAATGTTAAGGGTGATCTCATCTCGAAATGCACCGCTACTTCGTGGTGTGTTTGCATAGATAACCGAAAGCTGAATTCCGCCACTAGGAAGGACCATTTTCCATTAGCTTTCATTAATCAAATCTTGGAAAGATTGGCCAGGCAATAATATTATTGCTTCTTAGATGGTTACTCGGAGTATAATAAAGTGGCCCTAGATCCATTAGATCAAGAAAAGACCACCTTCACATGTCATTTTGGTACATTTGCTTATCGACAGATGCCTTTTGGATTGTGCAATGCTCCTGCCCCCTTCCAAAGGTGTATGATGTCAATTTTTTTGGACATGGTGGAGAAACATTTAGAAGTCTTCATGGATGACTTCTCAGTTTTTGGGTCCTTATTTGATTCGTGTCTCCAAAATCTCATAAAAGTGCTTCAAAGATGTCGTGAGACTAATCTTGTTTTAAGTTGGGAAAAGAGCCATTTCATGGTTCAAGAAGGAATCGTGCTTGGACATGTCATTTCTAAAAGAGGAATAGAAGTTGATAAAGCAAAATTTGAGCTAGTCTTCGAATTGTCTCCACCTACTATGATGAGAGAAATCCACTCATTTCTAGGACATGCCGGTTTTTATTGCCGGTTCATCAAAGACTTTAGCAAAAATGCTAGACCCTTGTGCAACCTTCTTGCCAAAGAGACTCCATTTGTCTTTAATGAAGCATGCTAAAATGCTTTTCATCAACTTCGCACTCTTTTATCATCCGCTCCCATTATGCAACCTCCAAATTGGTCCTTACCATTTGAGATTATGTGTGATGCTTCCAACTTCACAATGGGTGCTGTTTGGGTCAAAGGGTACGTAAACTACCATGTGCTATATACTATGCCAGTAAGACTTTCTCGGGTGCCCAATTGAACTATTCTACCACCGAGAAAGAATTACTTGTCGTAGTATATGCTCTTGATAAATTTCGGTCATATCTCTTAGGATCCAAGGTTATTATGTTTTCCAATCATGCCACTCTTAGGCATCTTTTAATGAAAAAGAAAACCAAACCTCGCTTGATAAGATGGATCTTACTTCTTCAAGAATTTGACTTTGAAATCAAGGACAAAAAGGGCTCCGACAATGTCATTGCCGATTATCTTTCTAAACTAATGATTGAATCTTTTACAAATCTTAAAATTCATAAATCATTTTTGGATGAACAACTCTTTCAAATCTCAAATGGGAATTTGCCTTGGTTCGCCGACATTGTTAGCTGTCTTGCAACCAGCAAACTTCCCATTAATTGGTTAAAACAAGAAAAGGACCGATTCTTTGCTAACATCCCAAAGTACTATTGGGAAGATTCCATTCTGTTTCGTTATTGCCCAGATTAAATCATAAGGA